TCGTGGGGTGTTCCGCTTTGAGACAACTGTCATCTTGTTCTGTGTTCGGTAGAGAAGCGACTACAATTGTGGACTAATGCCTTTTGGACGCACGCAATTTTGGCAGCGAGCTCATTTTTAAGACGCCTAAATCACCAAATCCGCTAAAAACTTGTATACATGGGTAATTTAACATCCTGATTACGAATGTGACATTCATTCTTGCGCTGGCTTTCATTTTGCAGAAAAAAACCTGTCAATGATAGAAAGTTCGCGAATTCTGGGCAACAAACAAAAACAAAGGAGGACGAATTGAAATCGGAAAGGCTTGGAACGCGAACTGTCAGCTACGTCATGGAAAAAACTTGCCAGAACTGATGGTAATATTTGGGTACTTTTCTATTTGTTCCTGTCACGTGAATAAGTACAACCAATTATGGAGCCCTTTCTCGCCGCCTGCTAGGTGGAAGTTCCCAACAGATTATTTTCTTACCAGTTGTTGCAAACCTGTTCGTTTTTTTTCTGTTACAGCGCCTATTATTACCAGAGATTTGTAGTAACTCTTACTCTCAATGAGTGCACCGAATCAACAAAGGATGAAAGTTCTCACCGTTGATCGATCCTTTTTAGGATGCGACACGCATTCTACTTCCGTCAGGATCGTAGTGGCTTACTGAATGCGATGTGGCCCATACAATGTGTTGCGGAGGCGAGCCAATGTACAAGTCAGCGTTTTACCCTCCCACACGAATGTGGAACCTGTTCACCGTACCGGGGAAGGAGTAGACGGCTTGATTGTCTTGGCGGAAACCACACCGGAACTTGATCCCTGGACCGCGCGCCCGTGGCGAGCGTGCCACTTCCCAACACCACTTTCGCTTTGCCTCGAACATGTACTTAAGCGAGTAAGATGTATCACATAGAGTGTTTCGACACAAATAAGCCGCATACTTTTAGAATACCACTTGTCCTTCCTCCACAGTTGGTCAAGCTCCGCTTGAGCAACCCGAAGTTGACACTGATGAGTTGGACACAGGTTTCTATAAACAACTAGCAGTTTCGAACAAAGCCAAGAAGAAGCAGGTTAGTTTCCCGCTGGTGCTGGTTTTTCAATCAACATTCTCTTTCAATTTGGTATCTCCTTATTTCCGCCCTTTTACATCTGTTCCATATGCTCGCGCTACCATGTCGTTAGTCTGTCAGGAAATTTCATCTCCAGTTCCCTGAAGTGTTGGAAATATTGTGAAAAAGAAAACATACTGACTAGTCTGTAGAATCGAGGAAGAAGGCGAAGAAATTAAAAACAGACTCATCTCCGACATTCCTGTGCAAGGCAAATGGGTCCACGGCTGCAGTAGAGTATCATTTTCTCCGCTCAAAAGTGCCTCTAGGGTACCCGAGTACCGTCTTCATATTCGGCCCGCTCCCTCAAAGTGGAGCATTTGCGTCGATACCAAAGTCCCACAGCGAAACACCTATTCAGCGGGAGAGAACAATCAGAAGTGATAGAGCGCAGACAAGTAGCGCGTTTGGTTATGGCTAGGCGCCTGGGCTGACCCTACAATAACGATTATTCAGTAGGGCGCAAGTGGCTCACAAAAGAATTTAGGCGTGAGGTTCAGTGCATTGCAATAGTCGACCACGGACACGCACCATATTCGACGCGCGTTACCTGAAAAAGCGGGTTCGTCAGCCGATTTGCCGACATGTGCCTTGCGCTGCTGCAACAGAAGCGTGAACTATTTTAGGGTATAATGCACTGCAGGAAGTCGAACTAAAGTATTACTGGGAAAAAGCAGACCTTTTTCCGTCAAAAAATTGAAATTCTCATTAAGCTGAGAGGAAGAATGACAGTTTTCGTTCTGTTCAGAATTTAGGGTTTCCATGATTTTTTCCTATGCTATAGTCTAGTCTTATTCCACTGGTAATCAGCGCACAAATCGTCCTTGTAACCAGAAGTTCGAATGCGGTGAAGTTGAAATCAGGCTCGCCCATTGTTAACCGAAAACCATAAAAGGGCACTATTCAACTAATAGTACCCTAGAGTCAGAAAAATTTTCTTTTGGTGAAACTCGCCACAAAAATAGTTCGGTTCCTTGGTCACGAATACAAGCACTCGTTTGGGCGTGGTAGCCAGTTTTGGGCGCCGCACCTTTCCCACAAATTCGGTGTAATTGCATGAATGGTATGGTTATTTGAAATCCTGATCATTACCGAATTAGTTTTCCTCCCTGACGCCATTTGGCGCTGACTTGGCGCCACACCCTTTTTCATCAAAATTGATAAAGACGTGCACAATGTGGTTGTTTGATGCCTCTGATCACAAATATGACATTCACTCCTAGCGCCATTTAACCGTTTTCTAAGGCTGAGCCTGTAAGAAAGTGTTTTCCTTTCGGTCAGGCCAGCCATACCAGAGCATAATCACAGCGTCTTGTCCATCAGCGTGACTTTTTTCTTTTTTATTTTCTAACTCAACATACAGTGGGAATTAGTCAACAATATACTCGTCATAGTTAGCCACTACAGTGCTCCACCTAATGGGCAGGTAAGCCATTCCCCTCTCCCAGAACTGAGGAGGCTGCGAGTAGAGTAAGTAGGCAGCCTCTCGACTGATGTCATCAAAGTTGCTGAAAGTTTTCTTAGCTAAGAAAGCCTTAAGGAGGTGAGCAGGTAGCAGTCGTAGGGGACTACGTCAGGAGAGTACGATGAGCGGGGTTTGGTCTCCCAGCCTTGCTCCTCAATTATTTGGTAGGTCTCCATAGCAGGTATGGGGTCTCGCGTACTACGAACGAGGTGCTCCGAAGCTAGTTTCGGTCATTTTTCTCCAACACTTCCACCGGTTTCAGGAGCTGAGCGACACAAATGGTAGCGGTGACCGTGTGTTCTTACAGGGCAGCTCGTTCTGCAGCATTTCCCTCGCGTCCCAGGAGCAGCACAGGAGAACCTTCTCGGAATACATGCCCGGTTTGGACTGCTAGAATGGATCTTCTCCTTGAGAGAGACACACGGTACTGTGTGGGTTGAAATCACAGAGGACCCATCTGTCATCTCCACTAAGCAGTCTCCCAGAAACTCCTTTTGACGAGGGCGGAGAAGGGGAGACTGACCAAGGGGTACCCGGGTGCGCAGCGTGCCATCGGTCAAGGTATGAGTGATCCATCGAGCCAGTACTTTTCGGTAGTCAAGGGCTTACAGGCGGTGGACGACTGTCAGTTAGGTACATCCGAGTCTTGTCGCAAGACTGCGGGTGGTAACCTCCGGATCCCTATTGACTGCTTCGAGAATGGTGGACACTGGAGCCGTCCCAACAGAGATTTGTCATGGAAGGTCGTGTCTCCTTTCGCGAAGCGAGCGAACCAAAGGTGGACAGTCATGATGGTAGTGGTGTCCTCCGCCAATGCACTGCTGATGTTGCGGACAGCTGCCGCTGCTCCAGTGCCGCGGGGCCACTGATAGAACATGATGACCCGAAGATGCTCCTGTGAAACTGACATCGTAATTAGACCCAGGAAAGTGCAGGCGCCCTCACACACTCTTGCAAGCTCCTAGAATGTTCTACAAGCATGGCATGTTACGCCATGTTCGAGCATCAAGAACCGAAAAGTGTAGGCTTTTCAAAAAACACTGACAGGACTTTCCTTTCCAACCTATATTTTGACTACGTATTTATCCTTCTAGTACTGACCCCAAAAAAGAACTGATAGATCCGCTCCTCTATCATTTTACATCCTCCTACTCTG